AGAATAATGTTTAATTTTTCTGTCTGCTGAAGGTGATATATCCATCACATGGAGTAAGTAATTTTCTTTGATATAACGAAACATATGAGCTAAAAATAAATTGTGAAGTCTTCTTAGTGTTTTTATGAAAAATAGCATGCTACGTCGCCATTATAAGAAAAAATACGTCATTGATGACTAAAAAATTGATGTCAAATTAGTCAGAACTCATTCATTGGATACAAAGCATCCCTTAGTTCGCGCCATGTGTTTTAATCCCCGTTAAATGACCTTGATGACTCAAATGGTCAACGTTTCATTGGTCAAAACTCATCCCTTGTTTGGTTCGCGCCATGTGTTTTAATCCCCGTTAAATGACCTTGGTGACTAAAATGGTCAAAGTGTCATTGGTCAAAACACATCCCTTGACTACAATATCCCTTGGTTCGCGCCATGTGTTTTAATCCCCGTTAAATGACCTTGATGACTCAAATGGTCAAAGTGTCATTGGTCAAAACACATTCCTTGACTACAATATCCCTTGGTTCGCGCCATGTGTTTTAATCACCGTTATATGACCTTGATGACTCAAATGGTGAAAGTGTCATTGGTCAAAACTCATCCCTTGAGTACAATATCCCTTGGTTCGCGCCATGTGTTTTAATCACCGTTATATGACCTTGATGACTCAAATGGTGAAAGTGTCATTGGTCAAAACTCATCCCTTGAGTACAATATCCCTTGGTTCGTGCCATGTGTTTTAATCCCCGTTATATGAACGAAGAGGAAGAAATGGCATTTATTTGTCAAAACTCATCCCTTACACTGCTTAGACACAACACGTCCTATATATTAATACATTCTATCAATAAATTGAACGTGATATATTCAGATAAAGCTACTAGTATGTTCACTTCACATGAATGGAAGGATTGAATCAATTTGATTCAACTGTCTTCTATGCCTTCTTCACATCATGTCATTGCAAACTGTATTGTAATACTGTTGATTGCAGATTTCTTGTAAAGTAGATTGGAATAAGATTTCATACAGTGGGCTACCCAGGGGGAATGTTACAAGGTGACTTGGCCTCTATAAATGCGACCTAATGCGTCGACTTTACCAGAAAAACAACTCCCCGGAGTAGCGATCTCACCGAACAAACATATAATACATGCGCAAGTACCAACGATTAAATACCAAAAGGTGTTAAAACAGTGCAAGAAAATGAAGTATTACTAGTAAATAAGTCATAAGGAAAGCAAATCACAATCTATGATCACAATGCCTCCATCTCCCACCACTCAGAAATCATCATCACAATTCAAGACTAAAAGACCATGGAACATTTCATTTATACTGTACACCATAACATACATTTTGAAGAATAAATCAAAAATGAAAACCAATACTCTTGATATCAAAAGTAGTTGTAGATACTAGATATAGTGAGTATTTAGTTAGTATCATATGATGTGGAACAGACATAATCTAGTCACGAATTCCATAAGGGCAGCAAATGCACTGTTACTCACCTAGTTACGCTGACGATACGTCAGCGTAACAAGATGGAAGAACTTCCGGGCTTCGTTTTCGGTAAGATATTTTTATTTCTCGATTCTATGTACCACTTATAAGTTAAGTTGTGGAAAATACTTTGGCTCAAAGTTAAGGAAGATAGCCTAGTTTGAGAATATGCAGGCGGTTCTATGTTTGGTATATTAACGAAGACGCAATTCACATATTTAGTCCCTCGCTTTTGTTATGTTGACGATTTTCATGAATATTGTCACATTGGCAATATGCACTGACAAAATCTTGAAAATAGTTGTTCAAACTTAACAGGTCATCGATATACCTATCTGTTTTATCTAAGTGTGTATTCGTTATATCCAAACTGACGGTCCCCTCAGCTGAAATAATGATTACTCAATTAGCATTTGAATAGATTTTATTGCCCACTGCTGAGAAGTCCGCTAGCCTCCAACTATCGAGTGAGGGTCGACCTTTGACTTAACTATCGATCCTTATCTGTTTACCTAATCTTTCACATGAGGGTTATCATTCATAAATTCAATAGGCTATCCTGGACCCTGTTGCTTTAATAGCTTTATTGTATGATAACTAACTAACACCAAATGACAACATGTTAATGTTTCTTTATTTTCCTCCGTGTTTGGGAGAGCATAAAAAAGTACATCAAATCAAATTAAGTTGCGATATTTTCTAGCGAATACACACTTATAACATAATATAAATGATTTTATGTTAGTCTCAGGTTTTATTAAATAATTTTGCAACGTGAAATTTTGCTTTTATCCTTTGTAAGAATTTATATTCGCAAGAAAATGAGAAAGGTCCGCTAAAAGAAGAGCACAATCTGTCACCATTGGTATTCTTTCAGTTTGACGTAAAACGTTCAAAATCGTCATAAATATTACCAATCAAACCTCACAAAGTTGTGTTGTATTGAAGGAAACAAACTTTGATCACTTGTAAACATATATTATCGAATCACTCATCATTTTGAACATAACATGACAGAGACAACCAGGAGGTAGCTAGAATGAGTAGAATATCAGTTATCACACGTTTCAGCATGTGATACAGGAAATATTCCACGAAAGGTAATACTGTATCATCCACGAAAGCGAAGCTTGAGTGGTGATACATTGTTACCCGAGTGGAATATTTCCTGTATCACATAAGCTGAAACGTGTGATGACGATTTTATCACATGTCTAGGAATTTTGAAGCATTTTGATTTGGTCAGTTATGATTGTGTTCAGTACTTCTGGTAACTATTATAATTTTTGATTTCGCTTTGAAACAATATGACGTCATACCGTTGTATTCGTACTTGTTTGTGAAATAGTATGACGTCATATTGTTTTCCTTAGCTAGAAGTGATATAATCAGTGACGTCACATCGTTGCTATTGATCATCACTGGTTGCCTCTAGTAACGTGTGAGACGGCCGTGTGAGACGGGAAAACTCACACGGTAATCAACCAATCAGATTACTGGAATTTTACAGAGCATGTGATAAAGTATTACCTTTCGTGGAATATTTCCTGTATCACATGCTGAAACGTGTGATAACTGATAGTATTGTTTCATTTTTGCCCAAATCTACACACCTCATGTGATATGACACCCAACTTTAAATATTCCTTCTTGAATAGAGGCCACGCGATCATAAGACCTTGGCCTATAAAAGAACTAGTACATGTACTTGTGCTGTGTTATCAGAAGAAAATCTATTTTCCTGAGAAATGGCGGCCATTTTAAAAATTCAGCATCCTTTTTGAGCAGAGTTCAGATTTTAATGTGCCTACATGTAAGGCATCAGCATATATGCAATTTGAAACAAATCCGTCGACTGGTAAATGAACATACAATTTTGTTTCATGGAAAACAGCGCCTATTTTGAAATGCATGAGCGACCTTATTGAAAATGCCTTCTGAGCAGAGGTCCTTTGCCTTTTAGTCATTATCCTAGCTACAAAATTTGCATTTTGGTCAAAATCCTATAATTTGTATTTGAATCATAAAAATTACATGTTTCAATGAAATAGGCAGCCATTTTGGAAATCATTAGCCATTTTGAAAAAATTCTTGAGTAGAGTTCCACATTTCTAGAGAGACCAGAGAATATGAAATTTAAATCCGTCGACTGGTATTTGAAATACTGGACACAATTATGCATTGAGAGGCCATGTTGAAAATTCCTACTCGAGTTGAGGTCCTATCCACATATTAAGCATCAGTCTAAGAATCTGTACCAGATCCGTCAACCAGTATTTGAGTTATCGTCTGGACACACGAACGGACTTACGGAAGGAATTACAGAAAGTTTATTACATTCAACAAATTAAAATTGAATGAAATTCGAAAAATATCAAGGCCGAAATCTAAATGTGATAGATAAGTGACAGTTTCTGGATTTTTAGTCTCACACTAGCGACTTCTCTATATATAGCGAGTATTATTACATATTTTTCTTGTTAATTGCTTTGTTTTCATTTTAATGAAATAATATTATCTGTTAAACCCACGAAGATAACAGAAACCCATTCGTAGATTAAATTAAACATTAAGTAATTAAATAAAGTGTCATGTTGTCATTTTTGTATACCCTTGCAAAAATCGAATTGATCTAAAGCATATACATGTACATGAAGGTCGGAAATAAGTAATGAAATGGTTAAAACTGCCCAGATATATTGAATTGTCCATATATAATAGTATATATAAAATTCATTTCCACACACGGACTGTGAATAAGGATGAAAAAGATGAATGCTTGAAATAATATCATAGGAACCCCAATATTGTATAAATTACTTGTTGCATTTCTGGATCTCAGGTGTTACCTTTCGATTGAGACCAATGTGCTTCGGTGACAAGTATTAAACATGTATACACAAAAATAGAAAGGTTTACAACAGAAAATCTCGATACGTTATACTGTTGTAAAAACGATGGAATACTAGACTTTGTGAGAGTGATTCATAGGTTAATTCATAGATAAAATGTTTTCAAAGGTCTATTTGATAAGTAAAACTATGATTTAAAAGTTATAGTCCCCTGGTGGTGAACGATAAGGAACGATAAGTATACAGCAACTCCCACGAATGATATCTGTCTCAACTTTGTAACTAGGCCACTGATTACTTTTTAAAACAAAATAAACATCCGTTATGAATCTGCTGAATAGGATATTAAATAAACTGACATAGTCTACCATCATTCAGCCGTTATATTTTATTACCATACCGTTCCACGAGTGTATTCCCTAAGTTTACACAATACGAACTGCCGTATCTATCAACTTGAATATCCCTGATATAATGAACATGCTGACACTTTTCCATACAGGCTCTATATGTAATGTTCCGATTGGCACTAATGTTAAATCAATCTACCTCTCCAAGATGAATACCCCAAACCTAGATCCTGAACTACGTCCCATGAGTATTCATCTCAAGGGGTTTTACTGTACAAAGTGTCATACATACCTTGCATATCTTTCACACAAAGCTATCTAAGCTTCGACCGTCACCTTCTTCATTATCAATTCAGTTCTGATACCTCCGTTAGACATTTAATCCATTCAATATGTCATGTATATGTTGTATTCACAAGGCGTTTATAAATGTACTTAAAATCCTTAAGAATTGTATCAATCTGTAACTGTATCCGCTGAGACTTGCTGAACCTGGCTGTGGAAACCGATCCCACTCGTTTATAAACTTTAATTTACCACTCGTTTATAAACCATGATTTACCACTCTTACGATAACTCGATTCCTATTATATACGTATTATCAATAGCTTTATCCCATATTATAAAATCGCGTTTAATTATCACTCGAATACAAGCACTTCAAATGCTTCGCTTATCGTTTGGTGAAGGGTTTTCAAATGCCGTAAATAGGTCATATAGTCTAATAGTTTTACTGATTATATAAGCATTCATCTAACAAGTGCAAAGGTCTTACCTTTCTGTATCAATGAGGAAACATTTTCAACGTTTTGTTTACTATTATACACATTGTTTAATGAGGAAACTAAAACCTACTTAACCGCACATTCATTTAATTTAATTCATAACAAAAAGATACATTGCCAAATAAGTTGACATAAAGTTGAATCTATCCCAAATACTTAGATTATTATTTTTTTTATATAAACAAGCCATCAGAAGTTTCCAAATTTGGATGACATTGCATATTAATTCTCAAGTCTCGGAACATGTATTTATATATACGTTAAATAAAACGAGGAAGGAAAATCTGAATGGTAAAAGTCGAGGTCACCTATAGGAATCTTTATAAGGACTTTAGTTAACTCCTGCTCATGAACTCCGGTAACGCCTGGGAGTTTTAATCCCCATCAATTCGTTACATCTGTTTGTTTCAGGAATAATGAATTGTTCTGTGATGAGAATTATTGCTGAATCGAAGAGGCATTGTACAATGGAGAAATTCAAAACAAAGTAACAAGACATTTCAAGTTTCAGATCTTAAAATTCAAATATACTATCATGCAGGGTATTCCATCAGTCATATCTGCAAATGTAATACCTTGATTGATGAAGATGTCTTGACTTGGGCTGACAGCTGGTTGCCACAATTTACAATATTGGCAGTCGGTCCATTGCCAAATCAGTAGGTTGAACCAGTGTTTCTAAGTCCATCACTAAAAGTGAAAATCAATTGACTTTGGAAACTACTGTCAATTTTGAACCTTGATAACATCTGAAAATATATAATTGTATATGTTATGTCAGAACAATTTATGATAGTAAAACACAGACTGAGGTATATATAAATGCTTTTTGATACTCAACTTTTTGGCAATTAAAAGTCCCTGCCTATATTTAGTAGTTATATATTGTCCTGTGCATAATTTTGAAACCTTATCCTAATTTTTCACAAACCTTTACTAAATTCTGCAATAGTTTCCAATTTGTATAACAGCATTTAGACTTTTTAATTGGGAAATGTCCAAAATGGAATTTTTAATTGACCTTTTTGCGATCAGAATTCAAGTATTTTGTTAATGGATACTGTTGTCATGTATTTCGTCTTATTGGTATGAGACATATTTAAAAAATGATATTAAACATGATGGAGAGACGAAATGGCGGACACATAGCAGTTCTGAGCTGAAACGATTATCGCTTCTTTTATGCAAACTATGGGTCGGATTTTTACCAGGTATTTCGAGTACTAGTATATATTTATATATGTGTGAAGTTTCTTTGAAATTCATACTAAACATCAATGCCTATAAGCACTGTTCCACAGCTGGATGACTCTAACTGCAGTTAGCGTCATTCAAGATGGTTGCCGAAATTCTTTCATTTTCGACAAACCTCCGATTTCAGCTAAACTAAAGTGAATCTTGATTCCAAAAGTTTCGTCATACAAACAGATGAAACTATGATTATAAAAACCACAAATAAATGCCCAAACACCCGCAATGTTAGAGAATTTGAAAGAAAACGGCTTCACTTCACTTGATGATGACAACTTCAGTTAGAGTAATTCTAAGTGAAGCTTTTTTCTTTAAAATTATCGCGGTTGTTTGAACATTTATCTGTGGTAGCTTTATTAGCTTGCATGGCGAGAAATTTGGAATCCAGATTCAGTTTAGTTTAGCTGAAATCAAAGGTTTATCGAAATCGAAAAAAATTTGGCAACCATCTTGAATGAAGCTTACTGCAGTTAGAGTCATCCAGCTGTGGAACAGTGCACGTGATAAGCGCCCCACCCATCCCCCGTTTTTTAAATCGGGGCGCGCTTAAACCGCTATCTAAATCATGTCAATAAGATCTTAGACTTCGCATATTGTAGTCAAATACTTTCGTGAAAAATAAATCAATAAAATACGAAATACATACGATAATCTCTCAAAATCAAACAGTTACAGCAATGTGGCCTAATTGTGACGTTACTTCTAGATACAATCCATCCAGTGATCGCAAATCATCAATTGCCCGTGATTAACACCATTCAAATCCGATATCCAAAGAACTTATTTGGAGAAACAATAAAAGGTTAGTGGAATAAATTAGAAGATGGTTTCAAGTTATTACAAAAGTCAATTTGAAACTCAAGTATGAGCAATGCACATAAAATCGAAACGTCAACCTGTATGCACAAGTTGTTGTACGCACAAGTTGTCGTAAAACATGTATGACACACATCATTTTCTTCAGCAAGCATTATACTGTGCATCGAAATCAAAATTGCCAGCATAGTATATTCAATAGAAATGAGTATAATGATTTCCGTTGACACCAACGCGAAATTGCAAATCTCCCGTTCTAAACACAGCTCTGAAGCTGATCGGGTATCTGAAGTAGACTAAGTAGCGCCTATTTCGTATGCGCGCTACATTACTGTATTGATTCATTGGCTTTGCGATCACGGTTACGTTGTGAAAAATATCACTAGCTTAAACTCTCTAATCATACCCAGCTTCCAGCCTCTGTGCAATAGCATACCGACAGTAACAGAAAAGCGCATTACAGACACATTGCAAATATAAGCCGAAGGGCACACATTTAAGTACAGGCTGTAGGTGTATTGACATGACGCTGATTCTGACAGATCCTCTTAGTTTTATATTTGCATGCCAAACAATTTTCGCACCACATTCACTGTTCCACAACTAGTTACTTTGACGGAACGTAAATGTAACAAAATGGATGAACTTCCTGGATACGAGTTCTTGGTTTTCTCGATTTAAGCCTACTTATAAGTCAAGTTGCGGATCATCATTTGGCACAAAGTTAGACAATATAGTCTAGCTTTAAGAAATGCTCTCGGTTTGGAATTTGATTCTTAAAGCTGTAATTCATGCATTTAGACTATCGCTTTTGTTACATGGACGTAACATACATCGCTAATTTAACGGACTTTCGTCCATGTAACAAAAACGAGGGACTAACTTCATTTACAAAACAAATTCCAAACCGAAGATATTTATTTGAGCTAGACTATATTTCCTAGCTTTGTCACAAATTGCAATCTGCAACTTGACTTATAAGTAGGTTTAAATCGAGAAAACAAAAAACCAGGAAGTTCATCCATTTTGTTACATTGACGTTCCGTCAAAGTAACTAGTTGTGGAACAGTAACATTTGTTTGTCAAAAATGTCCAACATCTAATTTCTGAAGTAAACATATTTCTTACATATTATTTTATCTTGACGTGAAATAACAATAGTTTTGGTAGATACGCCAATTTGCCATTTTGTTTCCGTTGGCTCAATAAATCTAATTTGACCAATCAGCGACGATGACAAAGTGAAATGTGTCAGTCAGTTTTCACCATTAAGCCTTTCAAGTGAGGCAAAATGGTCTTTACCCCCCCCCCCCCAGAATACCCTTTGCAATTGTTCGACTTCACTTCTTAAAAGAGAGCTTCGTCTTCGGTAGTTTATAACTAGACTCAGCGCGGAGGGTACGTCAGAATATTTTGAAAACTGACCCCCTCCCTCCTTGGCTAATTCTGGTCATTCACCATCACAAGTGGTGACATGTTGTTAGAATCTCCAACTTTTTTGTGGATGGCGATTAGTGTTTGGCGTTAGAAGTACGGCGGTCGGCAAGACTCGGCATCTGTAACAAATGACATGGCGTTTGTAACAAATGGCGGGGTGACATTTTGCATGTTACCTTGTTAATTTTTGTATTTGATGTGTTGGGGAATATCTTGTAAAACATATCTGTTTTGTCCACCTTGTATCCATGCCGTACCCATCCGCTTAACCCAGCTGAGTATTCATACGGTGCACGTGGCGAACATGTGCCCAATCGACCAAAGTGTGACAGATCTATTAGCTTCTTTAGGCTATTATCTAAAATTGAAAATTGCGAAAATTGATTGTAAAACAAGGAATATATTTCTAATTTTGAATGCGAAAATCTGTTTTATCTGATTTATCAAGTCTTCTTATCTATCTGAAGTTCCTTGAGATGATAGAGGCAGCTGGAACCCGCAATGTGTACGACACAGAACCAAAAAATGGATACTTTTCTGGCGCCATCCTTTTCCTGGACCAGGAGTAGTCTTTTGAGAACGGTCATTAACCGCCACGTACTGTATCTACCATTTTTCACTTTCGAAGCAAGGTTGTAATTTGTCAGATTGAGCCATATTTTACAGTCATCTTTCATCCTAAATAGAGCTCATATCTATGTGTGTTGTAAATAGAATTAGTGTAACCTGTATATTCATTAGGGATCAACTGGGAACGAAAACAATTGTGTTTGCTTCGACAAGGCCGGACTTCCGGAAGCATAATTTAGTAAGAGTTTTTGTTTTCTTGATTTGATCGCTTTTATCCTTCAATTTCAACTGAATATTTGGCACGCATGGTGTTCGAAGATTCCGGTTTCAAAACATGATTTCACCTCAGAAATACATCGCGTAGTTTGGATGGTGACAAATAATTCTCCCGCTTAGGAAAGGAAGACATTACGGAGCATGAAACGAAGACAGAATTGGTATTGATTTGTAAATATTTTTTTTATTTTTTGTTACTGTTTTTTTTAAATGAGTCATAATTAAACGTTTTAAAAATAATCCTCGATGGGTAAGTAAGTGGATTAAGTATTTATAACAGGTCTTGTAGACCCTCGTTGCCTGATTTAAAGCAAAAGATTGAGTTTTGCACGCTGGTGACGTTACTCCTTTTTTAATACATAGATCTCTAAGCGTATCACTTGAAAAAATCATAACCCCCGACAGATTTTACTATGCCGTGCGCCTATTAATGTTGCGATTTATTTTGAACTTTCTCATGAAGACATAAATCTTGCAGATTTATCTTTAAATTTTCTGAAAGACGCCTCTTCCCCCCCACCCTACTAATTTTGTCCAAGTTACGACCGTAATATTGCAATTATAGCCTACGTTTGTTTAAAACTAAAATAACTAATAATTACATATGTTACAATTATATGCCAGAAGATGAGACTCAGATACCAATCAATCTGGA